CCTCTTGTTATCATTCCTCTATATCAGCATCCATTGACCTCAACAACCCCTCCTTCTTTCTCATCCTTTTATCTCTCCCATCCTTTTATCTTCTGTCTCTAACTTCAGCCCCTCTCATCTTTCTTTCTAGAAATTCCTGCTAGCCTATTTTTTTTTCTTGCATCTTCAGCCTTTTCTGCTTGGTTAATCTTCTTGAAATCTTTTGGCCCAGATTCTCATCCCCATCCCCTTCACTTCATCTGTTTTGCATACTGTACCTGCTGCTTAGGCATCTCTGGGGCTTGAGAAAACCCGGCTTATTCCCTACTGTCCTAGTTGTCTAAATAGCCTGTTCCCCAGCGTGTGTCTGCATATTTTCATTCACGGGGGTTGAAAGGACAGTATCTTTCAGAGCTGGCCCAAGCTAAAATTAAGGCTGCAAACACCAGGCACCAAATGTTTCATTCAGCTCTCTGGTTTATCCTCTAGAGCCTCCAAATGGTTTCTATTAGTATTCTGAGGGAGAGCTCACTGATGGAATTAGTGAGAAACCAGACTGTCAATTTATTTATACCCAGCCTTAGGGCATAACCATTGTGCATGTGTAAAGCTATTGAGATGCAGAGAATATTCTGTAAGTGTGTATGTATATGTATTGACTGGAACTGAGTTTTCAGGAAAAGCTGTTGCCCCAAGGACTGAGCAGTGACCAGAAGTGGGAGAGGCTGGAGTAGCCGTGCTGCATGCCAAAGGTCCCTTTCCTCTGAGCACAGGAAACAGATGATCCTTCTGAAATCTTTTGTCTACTTGTGTTTATTAGTATCTCCTAACTCTAATTTTACTGTAGCTCTAGTTACCCTTGGGAAGAAATTTCAAATTTAACTTCTGGAGTCCTTCCACTTTCATCAACAATATCTGTATTATGAAACTCTTGCTGCCTTTGGCTGCAGGAGTGTTTCAAGCATATGCGTAATGAATTATTTTTTTTTTCCATTGCATTGTCATTTAGCCTCTGAAGCATTTTGAGGGCAAGTTATTATTAGAAACATTTAGATGTGGATATTTATTTGATGCATCAAATAAAGGTAGAGTGTTGAGTATGAATTAACTTTTTCCAGTTTGACTTGATCAATTTTGTTTAGGAAGATTTGTATTGACAACGTCCTGGCCAAATGATAAGTCAAGGAATAGCTTTTATTCCTGCTTCCCAGTTTCCAATTACTATGACAGTGTCAATTAAGAGGTGCAGGTGAGCATCCTACTGCCCCAGCTGTTATGCTAGCAACAGTTTTGGCAGAGAAGGCAAGAAATGAATTATACTAATTATACTAAGAGTTAATAGACTGAGTGTCTGTTTCAGTCATCTGATTGGCCATCTCAGCTACCTCTGGAATTTGTTTCTTCCCATGAAAAATAAATATATCCAAAACTTGGACTGTTATTATATGTCACCTTCTCCCATGCTGTCTGTCGCAGTATGGAAATGTGAAAAGGAAGGGATTAGGAAAAGTTGTTTAGCTCCGTTATTCTCTGTAGTAGCCAGGAAACAATTAACCTGTTATCGCTTAACATGATGCTTGCAAAAGACTGTATGACAGGGCCCTTGGGACCAATGGACATGCTTGTACTGAGCAGTGGAGTGTGGTGCATCAAGCTGGTGCTGGTCCAGACTGGTACTTTCATCTAATAGAGAGCAGAAACTATGCAATGTGAGCTGGTCATCAAAGTAGCATAGCTTTGTTAGCATGTTTCTGATGTTGGACTAATTAGGACTGATGGGTTTGTCTGTAGCTTTCTGGTGCAGAGATACCGTTTTCTGCTTCAGAATTTGCTTAGATTCTGCTGGCTTGGAAGAGTTTGCATCATGCTTCACTGCTCTCATAGTCATATCCAAAGGAGGACGGAGCCATAAAACGTTGTGCTGGAGAAAAAGATGGGGTCACAGAGAGTCCAGACTGGCAGGACACCACAGGAGGGTTGCTCTCAGGCAGAGCTTGCTCCAGTACAGCTGTGGCAAATAGACCTTGTACTGTCATTACACATAGAAGCCACACAGCTTCACTGCCATGGAGGTGTCCTTCCTACCAGCTTATTAAGCAAACCAAGGTGGACCACTTCTACCGTTCTTTTTTTCTTTCTTGCATTTCATGTGACATATAGTCATTACTCTGAGTTGTAAGCACACTCTCAAAATTTTTACAATTGTGTGTGCTGCAGAGCTACAAGGGAAGTGCCTGGAGACCAGGCTTCCCTTTCAGAGATGCAAGAGGGACCGATTATTCACCGCTACACCAGCTCCTGGCATTGCTGGCAGGCACCATCAATAACATTAGTTTGATATGTCAGTTCTGCCAACAGCTTCAGTTTAATGGTAGTCATGCTACTCACCTCCAGCTCCACCCTCTGAGAGCTGAGGAGGGAAGAAGGAGAGGGAGAGAAGTATCTCAGCTAAAAAATAAAAGTCTGCCTGTGTTTGAAGCAAATAAAGTGTGTTAACAAGTAATCCTCTAGCTGAGGTTCCCAGCTGTTACTCCTGAGCTGTCTGGTATCAAAGCAATATGGGTCCATCGTACAGCAGCTAACTTCATTGCATGAGCAATTACTGTCTGAGACTTCTGAGGTATATTATAGTTTTATTATTATTATTTCTCTGCTCATAGTTTCTTAAGGCCTCTTCATATCCTGAATAAAGCTCTGGGGAATCATAAAGCCACAGGCAGAGTTTTAGCACAGTCACTATTCGCATCTCCTAGATTGATAGGTATTTAGTATGTTGCCTTGATCTTGGAAGCAGGACCCCGAGATACACCCCAGGGAGAGCCGCGAGACGTTCTTTGTATTTTTTGCCCCTGAGAAAATAATTCTTTTGCTGTGGAAATGACATATTTTTGCTCAGAAATGTCACCACTTCTGCCTGCCGATTGTAACTCTGCCACACTAAAATATCTTAAGTCTTTTAAAGTAAAATAATAAAACATTTAGAAATCTATGCAGAGCTGCTAAGCACTCTCATTGTTTTGCATTAATGACCCTTGGTTCCCATAAGCCTCTGCATCTGTTTTCTTACTGTTATTAATTATTGTTATAGTTCATTGTACCTGGATCTTGCTTGGCAAAGCTTGCAGTGGGGGTGAATAGAATGAGGAGAAGAAATGGTGGCAGAGATTTGCCCACTGTGATAAAAATAATTAAGAGACTGTTCTGAGAGCAGAAGTCAGATCTCCAGAGACCCTAGACCCTGCTTAGCTCTGGGGCTGTGTTTTCTCAGATTGTTTGTGTGCTCTTCTGGGCAGGTCCTGTGCTTATCTAGTCTGACCACTCAGTATATGTTCGAGCTCTGTAATATCTTGTGTTGTTTGTGTTCACCATCCTAATTACAGATTCAAGCTTCACTCACCAGATTTCATAAGGGAAGCAGAATTACAACATCTTTACTACAGGAAAATGTATTTTTTTTAATCAGATAGGGCATTTGTATGCCAGATGATATTTGCGTATGGTGGATCTGCTGGAGATGAAGTGATGATTTTCACCCTGAGTAGTTTGTGTCCTCTAACAAAAATGCACAAAAAAAAGCTTTGCAGGAGAGCTGCAGAAGTTTGCATGAAAATTTTTTTCTTTCTTCCAGCCACCTGCATGTTTTTTGCTCAGAAATAATCTCTTAGCTCTAGAGACACAAGTATCCCAAAGCACTTTTCAAATGCAACAACTTTATAAAAAATAATAATAATAATAATAAATCAACATGAGATCTGAGCTCCACCTCCTGTCACGGATTAAGAGAACATACATGGGCTTCATTACCCAACAGGTTTCCACTAACAAATATCCAGTAGAGATTCAAGTGCAGGCCGTGCTGGCCTGGAGCTCACACTGTGCCCCGTGGCTCCTGAGTGTGGGCTCCTGGGAGTTGCCAAGGAAACAGTCATGGAAATGGAGCTGGAGCTCTTGTCAGAAGGTTGGCTACAGAGATGTTTAGTGTTGCAAAAGCACACAGGGCTGATATTGGCAGAGGCAGCAATTGATTCAACCCCTGATGTGACAGCATTAAGGAGAAAATGTGATGCAGGCACTAAATGCCAAAGATGAGGGGGTTTGCATTTCTTAGTTTCTTTTTAGTATATCTGAGCTTTGTGGATCTCCTGCTCTCTCACTGCTTACATGATTACATTGACTTACTCCTATGTAGGCCCTTGGTGTATTCCTTCTTTGCCAGATCATCTTCTTCTTCTTTTTTTTTTTTTTTTTTTTTTTTTTTTTTTTTTTTTTTTTTTTTTTTTTTTTTTTTTTTTTTTTTTTTTTTTTTTTTTTTAATTAGGGGAAAAAACAAACCAAGGTCATTAATAACCAGGGTTCTTCCAACCGAGGATCCACAGCTTGGAGGAGTTCTCCCTTGAAAGATGATGTTGATAATCCAAGCCCTGTTTATCCTTCCCTGTCTTTGCTTGTCTCTGCTAGAGACACATCAGCTTTTAATAGACTAAGAAATTCCTTAGAGTTGTTTGTTATTTTGCAATTACTTTGCAATTGATTTTCTTAAAAAACAATTCATAACTTGTTAAAGATCTCTTCCCCTCTCTCCCCCACTGGTTTCCTTTTCTGTCTTTGCCACTGCCCAGTGTTCATAATCATAGGACCTGTTTTTTTCCCATTGCTTAGGGAGATGGTTCATCTACAGAAAGAAAAAATGAGTCCTAATGATTTGTAAAAGTGGATTTACTGGGGTCTGAGTCTAATTCTTACAATGACTTCTGCAAATGTAGTCGAGGCAGATAAACTGCCTCTGTTTCTCCATTTGTCAAATAGAGGCTATTTTAGAATAGCTTCTCTAGACCAAGTGTTGTCAATTTACAAATGATTCTGTAGGGAAAATTTCCATATGTACTGAACATGAACAAACTCCTTGCTCAGAATGGAAGGAGGAATGTTGAGAGTTGTCCTTCTGCAAAACAAGCCTGATTCTTTCCATGCCATTGTGAAATGGGCCCTCAGCATTGAGACTTTCCACCTCTCTCCGGCAGGGCCTGCAGCTGGGAACTCAGGAGCTGGAGGAGATGGGAAGCAAGTTTTGCCTTGGTTTGCTCATTCTGCACCTCAAATCCCTGCCTTGCAGCAAGAAGGTGATGGCTCAGGCAGCTCTCCTGCTAGACCTGGAGGAGGAGATCACAGACCGGGCACAAAGGTCAGTGGTAGCATTCAGAGGGTTCTCCTGTGGTAATCAAGTTGGTGGGGAATGTGTTTTGGGTTTAAATCTGCAGAAATGGACTCTCATTATGGCTGAGATTTGCATCTTGGGAACTGGCGCATATTGAGGGACATGAAGATATATTTGACTCCCAAAGAAACTACTAAAACAGTGGTTCCTTGCCCTGCAACTGTCCAAGTAGATAAAATGGAGAAGGAAAAGAACTCGTTTTCTATTTTCCAGTGAATTTCCATTTTTCTCTCAAAACTGGTTACTGGAGCATAGGGATGGCATTGCCCCAGAAAAAAATGAATCAGGAGGAAATATTGGAGTGTCAGATGGTGGTCTGTCCACCTCATGGAGAAGATCTCTTACATTCTTACATTCAAGATATTCTCTCTGAGCTGCAGGGCAGGGAACATATATTGCAGATGAGAGAAGGACTTTGATGGTGTGATTTAGAAGCGTTCAGCCTGATTCTGCAAGGAATCTCACAGACTCTTTTCCTCATTGAATTGCATCCTGCAGACATTTTGAGCATAGGTTTGTGACTTTTTGGTGCATAGAATGAGGTCATGATCCTCCTGATTATTTAAGAGATTTTTTTCAAAATTGCAGAATTAATTTCTTTACTTCCTACATTCAGTTGAATATATTTAAGTGAAATTGCCCTATTATAAATAAATGGGGAATTTGGTCTGGGTAAGTTTCAGGGTATGGGATTCTTCAGCTTGAATTTGTGATGAAGCAGAAATACATATATCCTTTCTAGACCACCGTCACTTGTTAGTGCTATGTGCGAGCACATATGCTTGCAATAATGTTTTTCCAAGAGAAATGGAGAAAGAAAACTTAGTGATGTGATATGATTTGAAGCTCCCCAATGGGTTTGTCATCAAAGAGCTCTCTCAGCTTCATCAATGAAAAGCAAGTTTTTCAGTTGCAGAAATGCTGCCATAATTTATAGCAGGCTTCCAGTCTTCCCCCTGCAGGAATACTTAACCGACATTACCACCACCTGTTCCTCATGCCGAAAACCAGTCTTACAAGCTTGTTCGCAGTTTTTAATTTTTATGAGGGACAATGAAAAAAGAGGACTAAAACGCAGAGACATTCCTTTGGATTAGCTGTGCTCACTTGTACATGTGAACATACAAATGAAGCATATGCTAAGCACCATCCGTGTTGTGGACAGCCACCCTACAAATCATTGTGTATCATTAGAGGGAACTACTGAAGCCTGCTCCATGGATGGATTTGAGATATAAATCAAACTCTCACTTTTGAACTAGAGCTAGAAGAGACTTTGCATGAAAATAATTTCTTAGATGGGAAGAAAAACATTGAACTCTGATTGGCCTCAGACTGAAAAAAAGCCATCAGGTCACATGAACTCGGTGAGTGTTTCCCATGATCTTTATAGTCTTCTGTTACTGTTTTTTTTTTCTTTAGTTGACTTTATATTAATAAGGGATTCATTCCTCTTTCACAAAATACTGTGGCAGTTGATCAGTACCCAAATAACAGTAAGAAGCTCTTTAATTACAAATATTTTTAAAGAAATTGATAAAAAAACCCACAACTTTCTCACTTTGTAAGACTCTCATATTGTTCCAAATGGTAGCTGGAAGCAAAGTCTTCTGTCCCTTCAAGTTTGCCCAGAATTAGTGAGTACCTCTGTGACATCCAGGGATGTAATGTCACTGCTAAAAGGCAACGTGACAGTTACTCATTCATTTTCAATCTACTGGGTATAATTGCAGGTTTGTGGAATTTTTGTAGCTTAGGTGCAATTTGTTATAATTTGCAGACCAGGTAAAGAGCCGAATTGTTTATGCCACCTAGATATGTCATATTGCAGGTGCTTCTGCAGAAGATTGGGGGAAGGGAGACGCAGGGACCAAAGGCTTTGCTAGCATATTCTTTTTTAAAAATAAATAATTCATGGAAAATGATTGTGCAGTATATTGATTCTGATTCTGAAAATTAATACTTTGCTCCTGAGTTTCTGTGAGTCTAGCCAAGAGAACTGTGTGATTTGATTTGAGTGGGAATAGGAGCCCTACTGGAACCAATGGAAGAATGGAGAATACAGGGAGCACACTGGTATGGGCAGGAGGGCAGCTATTTCTGTATCTCTCTCTCAACTCACAGACTTTGAATAAAAAACCAGAATGATTCTCCATCAAAACCTTTCTCTGACTATAGCTAGCGTTTTCTGGCAAAGGTAAATGGATCCCAAAGACTGTCTATAAAAAGGTACAGTTATGGGTGATTCGTATCAGAGCAGTATTCACCAATATCAAAAGGATTAGTATTGCTCAACCTTGATGAAAATATTTAGTTGTTAGGGTTTTGTTTTGTGAAAGCAATCTGAAATGAAGCTGTGAGCAGTATGATGGATTGCACAGTGCTTATGTTAAATATGTCTATCTTGATCTAATGTGTTTCCTAAATATGCGTTTCTGAGTGCCCATCTCTGTAATACTCTGGGTGACAGGTCAGGCCAGGGAACAAGAGGTTAATCCAGCACTGGATAGAGCTGGTTCCCAGATGAAATGTCTTGTTGCAAAGGTACATAGATCAAAAGCTGTGGAGCCAGAGGTCTCTTCTGTTGTGAAATCCCTGCAGTTCATGTCCTGCGTTTGTCTCTCTTTGCCCTGGTGTCTGGTGCGCGTGGCATTGACTTGGCATCTCAGCATCTCCCTCCGACAGCAAACATTTTCACCTGTCAAGGTTTATAACTCTATGTGTCTTTTAATTTTCCTCTTCAGGCTGCCTCTGTTCTGGGTATTTTGCAGCTTTCTTCTTTCACCACTGCTGTGAAGGGGATGAAGGAGCAGGCTGGACTCTGCCTGCTTCCCTGGAATAAACTATTTGTTGTGCACTTTATACAGCTCTGTCAGAATCGGTGGTTAGCAAATTGGAGCAAGGTAATAGCTGTCAGGGAAGTGACTGATCTAATGGAGGCATCCGGTGTGAACGGGGGATTTCTCACATCAGATTGGGTCTGTTGTGTTCAGGGTGCTGTCTCCAGTGAGTCAAACAAAGAAACCTTCAGCAGACCCAACTGAATATGGTTTCCTACACGGGCAAGAATTTCTTCCTGTCCCCAGTCTACACTCTCTCTTTCCTCTAAAGTGTGAACTGTAAATGGAGTTATTTGCAAGCATGGGTGAGGTAACTGTTGGAATAATTTCCCAGCAGAGGTAGAGTAGCAAAGTAGTTGCATCTGAGGATAAGTAAAGGGGGCTGAACTTCCATCAGTGGGGCTATACTGCTAGCAGGACAGTAAAATATTTTTCTGTAACCAGGAAATCCTTAGGGACATCGTGGAGTTGGCCTAACAGCTCTGTGTCACTGGTCCTCAACATGTCTGTATGACAGCTCTCTCGTGGACATGCCAAAAAAGTGGAGAAAGTGTACAATGCAGTACACACATAAGATACATTAGAGCTGCAAGGTGTGACGTAGAGGAAGATGGGTTAAATTGCTCCAGGTATTAGCTTGTGTCTTAATTAGCAACCTGTGCTCCTGGGATATTTCATATTCACTCTCACACTTGTTCAACCATTATCACCCTCACATTGCACAAGACATACATAGGGATCTAGTTTGTAGCTTTTCTTTTCACTAGTGATATTCAGGTGTTTTTCTGCATCAGCTACTCCTTTTCCCTCAGCATTCAATAGGGTTGGTCTTATAGAGCGCTCTGACATGGTCAAAGGCCAAATATGTGGAGAATTTTCTGGGCTTTGCAGCCACCTTCAAAAAAACAAAACAGTGTGTCAGGTGCTTAACAGGCACTTTATTTTGCCCTTTCCCAAACTTGGCCTCACAAGCCATGCCCCAGGAAGAATCATTAATTTTGTGTTTCCAGCCTCCCACCATGCCTTGCAGTCAATTCTGGCATTCAGAAGCTCTCTGCTGGGAAAATGAAATGCCAGCTTCTACTTTGGACATCATGTTTTTTGATAATAGGTTTCATGCTTCATTTGCTGTAAAAACAATTAAATTTTAAGTCAACACTGTCCAGGTAACTCCACATTTGTCATGACCACAAAAGAAGATGCAAAGTGACTGTTTGTTCAGTTAAAAGCAGGTCTGAGAGAGAGAAAGCAAGAGGAACTCTCCACTATAGGTACCCTCCCCTTCTTCCTCATGGTTTGAATTGATGGCACATTCCTTCATTTTCTTTTTCTCTGCCCTCCAGGTTGTGCTAGGAAATGTTTTGCATACGCTGCAGCAATTGTAGTCATTTGTTCATGAGACACATCTTATATGTTGAGACAGGCTCTTGTGAAGTCATTATGCATTTTCTGCTGACTCAGATATTATTCACCTCCTGTATTTCTTCATCATTTCTTACCTTTCTTGAGCAGAGCCAAATCTCTCTCCACCCCAGAAGGTAAATATGTCTAGCTCTGCTATTAATCAAAAGCAGAAGGCTTAATCATTGCTCTGGTCCTTTGTTCAGATGTAATCTTTTCATCTTCCATACGCTGAGCAGAGTTGGATTGGTCAGTGTATGGATGGAAAATCCAAGAATTGACAAGAAGGATTTGCAGATCATTTGGAACTGTGCTTGCTCCTCTTCTGTGCTGCATTGATACACCATCATCATCCTGGATAGTATTGAACTGTTGGATTTTCCATCTTTTCACTATAATGTACCTTCCCCTGATTATGTCTGTGCAAGCAATTCCACTCATCTTTTAAGCTATGTGGCCAAAATGTGATTCAGATCAAACAAAAGTGAATTTGAGAAGATGAAGTAGACAAGAAAAAGTAAAGTTCAAGCAACAAAATAACACAGATGGAGCAAAGTATGCTCAATTCATTTGGGACATCTTTGCTGCACCTTCAAATAGCAGAAATGTAGCATTATACTTGTGTGCAGTGATGGGAAATGGCTCCCTTGGCTGGTGGTTTGGGTCTTCCTATAGTTACAGGTGAAGGTGGGTGTCATTCCTTGATGTTATATTTGTTTTGATTAT